ACAAGGTAGGGGTTTCTAGAAGTTGCTTCTTATGCTGCAAATCACTCTGCTGTGTTTTCTTATTCTTTCTCCGGTCTGGAAAAGATAAAATTCTAATTTATTTTTTTTTTATAGTGTTTCTCCTTTATTAGAAATTCTTTCGCAATAGATTCTATAGAATCAAGGAGATTGCTTTGTCACCACCGACCTCCCCTCTTCCCTGGCAGCACTAATGGCCATTAGCGTTAATTATTTAGAGTTCCTTGTTTTGCACACAGAGACCAGCAATCGATGTGCGACGCCAGGTACATGCTTGGGTACCCCCTGTCTCCAGGACTTTACCCCTCATCCTTGATCCAGCCTTTGGTTTTATTCAGCACAGCGTAAGCAGCTCTATTTAGAAAACTTGATGGTTTGGTTGGTTTTTTTATCCAGGCAGGAACATTTCCTCTGTAAATGTTAACCTTGTGACACAGGCTGATATGGTTCTTTTCTTGTCTTTTTATTCCTGTCCTGCTAATTTTCAGCTGTTGTGCATTCTGGGCTTCTTATCATGTAATGGCAAAACCAAATGGGTCACCTTTTCACCTAGGCTCACCTCTGGCTATTTATTGCTGTTCAACATGGATGGTCAACAGGGTGTCCTGATTGGAAATGTTAAGCAATCATAAGAAGTGAAGATCTAGGCAGCTGTTATTTCCTTTCATGTTCAAAACCAACCCAAAATTGAAACATGTTGAGCAGTAGCCACAGACATGGTAAGCAGTAAATAAGATGATGTGTCTGGCTTCTAAACTGGCTCTCAGCAGCTTCAAGCACCGTTGTCCTCTGGATGCATTGTTCCAACTGGTGCTGAATTGTTCCAACTTCAGTTTGAAGTGTATCTTTCAATGGGATTTCTTTTTCTTTGTGATGGAGGAAGAAGTGATCACACCAACTGGCCTTCCCATAACTAGCTGCTCAGATGGGTTAGCTGGATGACACCTGTGGTGCCTAGATAGAAGACGTCCTTGTGATTAAACTTTTGATCATTTTTATCTGCTGTCTCTAGAGCAGAGGGCTGTGGAACAGGGCATGGTGTGTCTGGTGTCCATCTAGGTAATTTTTGAGCATTTGTGGCTTTCTGAGCCCTCACCAGAATCAAGCCTGGGCTGTGTGTGGCATGGATTTGCAGTCACATGTTGCATTCTGTCTATGCTGGGTAAAACAGGATTTGCCACATATTGTGGTCTTCTCATGTTACTTTGGTAGCATAAAGACAAAAGGTTTCTCAATTTTTCCTCTAAATCTGGAGCTACTGCATGTTAGAAACAGCAACACTTGGGGTGACTTAATAGTTTTGTCCATGGCTTCTTCCATGAAACCATCATAGATAGAGTGAGGGTACTGCCAGCTTCCCAGCTCCACACAAGACTGCAAAATTAACATCAGCCAAGTATCATGAAATCAGCTGGGTTGTGGCTTTACTTCATGGCCCTCATCACTCAGAGGATCGTACAGTGTCACACAACAGAAGTGCTGCTCCTGATGGGTAATGGCATTAGGAGTCAGTGCTGAAATCATGGTACAAAACTTGCTTAATGATTTCCATTTTTTCCCCTGTGTTACAAAACGTAGTTGAGCAGATGGAGACAGCCAGCTGTACATAGAGCTTTAGGGAGTACTGGGGAGAAAAGAGAAAGGTTTTTGTTAAGATAAATGTAATAATCTCTGTGATAATTAGTTTAATTTAGATCCTTGCATCTGACTCATTTTTGACTAACCTTGTATGAAGCCTTTCTTGCCTTGCTGATGAGTCTGTGAATTTAGTTTGATTACAATCCCTTTTTTTGTGCTCATGGATTGCTCACTGATCACTGATATTTTTCATTAAGCAGTTGCTTTATTACGTTGTTATTTAGAGGGGAGTAATTTGTGTTTTCTAATTAATTTAATTCCAGGCACATTCAGTAAGTAGCTACAATGAGCCCATTCAAGGGGTTTTAGGTCATATTGACATTGTTTACCAGATGTGCTCATTTATTTTAAAACACTGTTAACTCTGTGGTGACAACAGCTCTGTTTGGTTGCATCACTCTTCCATCATCCCTAATCTGCACCTCCAAACCCCCTCCTAAAATTAGAAGATGCCTTTCAAGTACTAGTGAGAGAAGTCCATAGACACTAAATCACAGAGGCATTATATTGTAAACTGTCAATATAAACCATTACTATTCCATTATTGGATTTGAGGGCAGAGCAGCAGGGATGTGAATGGCTACTCCAACCAGTAAAAAATGGGACAACACCAAAGAGATGCAAACTGGCTATTAAGCCCTTCTTGGTCTGTTCTGAAAAAATAAAAATGAGGTTTTAGGAAATAAGAGGAAGGTTGAGCATCCCAGGCAAGGCCTGGCATGAGCAGTGGCCTTGGGCAGTGATGGGACACAGCTAATGTAATCAAAAGGTGAATGTTGTAGTTCGTAGTTGTCACCATCCCAAACTTACAGACATGGGCTGTTGTTTATATCAGAAGCTTTTCAATAAGACTCAGCATTTTCTTGCTAGTCATGCTCCCAGGATTTGGGAGTTAATCAAGCACTTTGTGTTCATTGCTGTTAAGTACTGTATCCATCCCATCATCTGCGCATGAAAACTACTTATGATACCTGTCATTTGCTCATTTGGCCTGCTGCATCAAGAACCAGGGCTTGTAAATGAGGCCCTAATTAGATGAACAAGTGATTTATTTATTTTTTACAGGAAAATATACAGGCAGGTTATTCCCCCTGACTATAAGCTTGTCCCGTGAAAAACTACTGACACTTGTTAACGTGTTCTGCAGTCACTTATTTTGGTAAAAAGTCAATTACTGCTTGTTCTGCAGCAAAGTCTGGCACAGAGCACTGACACTGTAAGATTGATCAGCCTCTGAAGGACTCACCAAACAATGGCCTTGTATGCATTTTCCATTAGGTTTTCCACTGTTTCCCATCTCTTTAGGATTGGAACAGCCAAAAATGAATGACAAACTTTGAAGGAAAGGTTTGTTCAGCAGTTCACGCTTAGGAAATTTTAACATTAGTGCTTGCGATGCAACAAAGTGAATTCTGGTACAATTTGAACCAACAGCCCAGCTGCATCTCAGCTTTACATTTTGTGGGGAACATTTAAATTGCTGTGATAACTTTTCTGGCTCATTTTGGTCTGTTATGAGTGCATGCATGCATGGGGATCAGTCCTACCTATTGATTTAATGGGAAAGAGCATCTCTTGGAAAGGGAGAGTAAACATGTGTGCATGCATGTGGAAGGGGAGAGAGAGAGAGAGAAGGAGACTCTACTCTCTGTGTGTTTATCTCTGTGATAAATGATGCCTGCTAGAAATGTGACTTGCCATGAACATTATTAGTGCTTTCCTCTTTAAGTGTATTATACAAACACAGGCATCGTCAGCAGAAATGAAGCTGCAGTCTTGATTGTTTAGTTCAAACAGTTTTGATGTTTCATTGTCCCTCCATCAGTCTGTGCCTGGAGGGGTATCAGCTATTGACTAGGAATGCATCAGAGTGATGTGCAGAGCACAGATATTCCTCAGAAGCCAAAAACACTTAATATAAAATACTCACTACAGTTAGGATCCCAGTCTGTGAACAGGCAGCAAAGTGAGATCCGTTTATCATTTTTAATTGTGCATCTTCCCTGTTCAGAACTAACATCTCCCAAATTACCTTATAATGAGCTTCTTCCTAGACAGATTTGTAATTCACTTGCATCACTTATTTATTCTCTCTATAAAAGTTAAGATGAGGGCATGGGGTTTAGCACAAGCAAAACTCATAAAGTATAGAAAGTATAACGCAGCATAAATGCCACATAAATCACATTCTAAAGACAAAAGCAGATTTCAAACATCGGAATTGCTGAGTACTTAATGTGGAGTGTAATCTGTGTTATGGTTTATGTTTGTTATCTGGAGTGTTACACAGAGCAAAATGTGGGGAGTTCCCTCTCCTCCAACAGTGGAGAAAAAGGAAGGTGATTTGCAGAATGCCCAGGAAAGAGGTTTTCCTGTGCTGTAGGTAAATCCCCTGGACAAGTGTCCCCTTTGCTGCTGGGAATTCAGCTATATGCACAAGTAGTCCATAGAAATCCCACTTGAGTTCTCCTGCTCATCACACAGCGAGTAAGAGGCTGCTCCAAAATGCAAAATTGTCCTTGAAAAAACCTTCTCCGGTGCTCTCCCAGTTGTTTCTTCCTTCGCATTGACTGCAACCTGTGTAAGCCCCCCTTCTCCAGGCTCCATACATCCCTCACAAGGGTCAGGACATTTGCAGTGCAGTTTTCAAGCCTCAGCTCTCTGAAATTGTAAATAACAGATAAAATCTCTGGCTTCAAAGATTTACACTTAGGGTGGGCAGGAAGGAAAGCGTGTGTTTTCTCAGTCCTGATCACAGTTTTAGGGATAAAAGCTTACTCCTCTGCATGCTTTTGTTTTCCTTTGCCCAACCCATGCCCTCCCTGCTCAAGCCCTTGTGCATTTTCCTTTCAAACATCAGTTTCTAGAGAAATACTTCTTAAGAAAAAAAAAAATAAATCATAAAAATCAACCTGTTTCCCTTGCGCCGCCGCGATTGGTCCGATAAGAATCGCCAAGCCCATCGTGTCGGAAGGGAACAGCCTGGGCTTAATTGTGAGCTAAGTCTCCCCTAATCCAGGGGAGCATTTGAGATTCTGCCCGAGCGCTGGGTTTGGGCGGCCGCTGAGGGCTGTGGGTTTCTCTGCCAGCCTCCCGGCTGCTGCAGCACCAGTCAGCAGAGCTGATGCAGCTGGAGCTCTCTCCCCCCGCTCCCGGCACTCGCTCGCTCTCCCTCTCCCTGGGCTTTGATTCGATATGAACAGACTGGTAACTCCGAGGCGAGAGGGAGAGCTGACATAACTCTGCAGATGGCTACGTCCGGATGATGCACCTAGGGATTTGTCTTTAAGGAAAGGTAACGTTCAGATGCTAATGTTGATTTTTCCCTTGTTGCCATTTTTCAGGACTGCCGGTCCCAAAGAAGAGCCCAAAGTCGGTAAGCACTTTTCAGCTCCTCTTTTTTGTCCTTTTGCCTGCTTTAGAGGAGAAAGGCATGAGTTTGGTTTGTTTCCTTTGTGGGTTTTGATTGTTTTTTAAGTTGTCTTTCTGTTGCAACCATGATTACCTTGCACGGCTCTTGCTGCATGGGGGGGTAAAGAGGAATATGCAGTACGGGAGGGGGACTTGTTTGCAAATAAAGCCTCAGGTTTACAGATCCTCTTCCCTGACTGATAGAGCTTCTCTGTCATTTAACTTACCAAGAAAAAAAAAGCTATTGTTTCCTTTTGGAAAGATGGGAGGCTCCACCTTCTTGCCAGATAGCAATTCCTGTTGGGTGCTCATGGGCACCAACCTTTTCCATTAACTCCCTGAGTTTTCTGGAGTCCCCCTCGGCTGAATTATTGGCAGAATGGGAAAGCATGCACCTTGTTGAGAGAGACAAAGCGCGAACGAAGCGTGACTACAGTTCCCCGGGAATACAGTGAGCTGGCCAGGTGCTTGCTCTGGAAGCATTTTCCTGC